TATCAGAAAGGTTGTAGTGTTGTTTTACAGTTTATACTTAAATGCATTCATGCATTCTCTTTTAAGTAAGTATAAACTCTGTAAAACAACACTACAACCTTTCCATTCCCTTTCTGTTTTTACACCTGGCTGCCATTTGATGCTCAGGTTTATGGGGGAAGGGGAGTGGGTATCATGCTGAAAGCCAGCTTGTTCCAGATTAAATGTGCAGTTAATTGGCCTCTTAGTGCTATAGCAGTGACTATGTACCCCTAGTTAGCTCTGAATCCCTAAAAAGGTGATTTCTATCTTCATCATTTTCAAGAGCTCTATTTTACTCTTCACCTGTTTCTGCAGCTAACCAAATGTCCAGAAGAAATTATGGCTATTGGATAGTAGCACCCGTAACTTCCGGTCTCACATGTGAAAACCGCTCCATCTCAGCTCTCATCTTAACCTCCTTCCCTGCTGTATCTGCAGGGTTCTAACTCCACTCTCCTTCTCTTACATCTCCCACCTCCCACTTATAATGGGTCTTCTTCCTCCACAAAACCTGACCATTTTTCCCCATTGAAAAGAACCAAAACAAGTTTCCTAAAGCAACTGCCCTTTCCCAGTCTCCCTTCCGGCTACTATACAATCGGATTCCTTTCAAATAATGAATCTTTTCCTAGAGTCACTTCCCACTTCCATTTTCAAACTCAACTAATCTGCTTTTGTTCTACTCTCCATGGAAACTGCTCTGACTGTGAAGATCACCAATCTCTCCCCTTACTTGATCTCTCAAGCATTTTGATGTGTTCCTGAAACTCCCTTAAGTACTTGGGACTCTCTGGTCTGTTCCTTGTCAGTCTCCTTTAATGGCCCCTCAGTTTCCATCCACCTATTCACCCTTATCAAAGATCTGTCCTTGGTCGTCTCTTCCTGTGTTCGTTCCCTGGGTGGTCTCATTCACATCCAAAGCTTCTGTTACAGCACATCCATTAATGACGGCTGCACCTTCAACCCACATATCTAACTGCCACTGTTCACCTCTACCTGTACCCACAAACAGTCTAAACTCATTTCATATACATATGAATCCTCTTTTATTCCCAAACTGCTGTTCTACCTCCATTAACTGTTTCAGTTAAAAAAAAAAAAAAAAGCATTACCTACCAAGCCTTTCAAGTCTGGATATAGTGGTCTCTGCCCTTTTCCTTGTATTCCTCATCAAATCAGTACCCCAGCCCTGCCATTTGACATGACAATCTCAAATAACCTCTCCCCACAGTCACAGTCCAGACCCTCATCACTTCACATGACATCCCTGCTTATAATCCAGTGGCTCTCAAAGTGTGGTCCCCTTACCAGTAGCATTAGCATCATCAACTTATGAGAAATACAAATTCTTGGGCTGCCTCTGACCTACCAAGTCAGAAACTCTAAGGTGGGGTCCAGTAATCTGTGTTTTTCAAGTTAGAGAACCACTGCTCTAGTTTGCTCTTCACTAAATATACTCTACCCACTTAACAGCCATCTTGCAAAAAACCAAATCTGATTGTTTATGCTCTGCTTAGAAGCCGTTCGTGATATTTTTGATTAGAAGGTGAAATCTAAATTTTTTTTTTAATTTTTTTTTTAAGATTTTATTTATTTATTTATTTGAGAGAGACGGAGAGAGAGCACATGAGAGGGGGGAGGGTCAGAGGGAGAAGCAGACTTCCTGCTGAGCAGGGAGCCCGATGCGGGACCCGATCCCGGGACTCCAGGATCATGACCTGAGCCGAAGGCAGTTGCTTAACCAACTGAGCCACCCAGGCGCCCTGAAATCTAAATTTCTTAGTACAGCACAAGAGGCCCACCAGGATCTAGTTCCCGGTTACCAGTTTTCAGAAGGTAAAGCAGAGCAAATCATCTTAGTAAGAATGCTCTGTTGTGTAGTGTGATTAAGGGGATGAACTGTGGAATCCTACTGCCTGAGCTTTCAATCTCCACCTCAGCACTTCACAACTAGCTGTGACTTTGGATGAGTCCCTTAACCTCATGCACTATGCCTCAGTTTCATCATCTGTAAAATGAGCGTAATAATGACTTCCATATCACAAGGTTGTTGTAAAGTTAGCACAGTACCTGGTTGTCTGGACTCAGTGATTATTAGCTATTACTCTTGTTTTGGTTATTTCAAAAGGAATAGAGCCAATCTAAAGTATAGCAAGAAGAGGAGAGGACTGGAATACCTGCCCAGACTAAGGGAAGTGGTCCCCATAAAGGAGGCCCGTTTCTCTGGGCAGTTTCAGTTAGTCTAGAAGTGAACAAAAATAACCCGATTCTCATGTAAGAGCTTGAGATTTCTAGGGTTATTTTGATTGGGTGGATCTGTAATGATTCCAGGATGTTATAGGAAAGGTAAACTCCTACCAGTGAGAGCCAGGAAAGCTAATTGTGAAGGAAACAGGAAAACTCGGAGCAAAGCAGCAAAAACAGGGCGAGTGATTTGTTTCTTTGATAACAGTTAATAGAGTCCTAGTGGGCTCTATTTTCAGAAATGTTGGTTACTTTTTTTTTAAAGATTTATTTTTAGAGAGAGAGAGGGAGAGAGAGATAGCGAGGGTGGGGGGAGGGGTAGAGGGAGACAGAGTCTTAAGCAGACTCTGTGCTGGGCACAGAGCCCGAAGGGGAGCTCGATTTCATGACCCTGAGATCACAACCTGAGCCGAAACCAAGAGTCAGGCACTTAACCCACTGAGCCACCCAGGAGCCCCAGATACGTTTGTTACTTAACAGCAGAGGCATTAAGTAATGATGGGAATCCAATTCTAACCACCAAAAATTAATTATAATTTTGGGCAAATCACTTCTCTTCTGCCTCCAATCTAATAATTTGTAATATCAGCTATGCTATGAAGATCACTACATATATACTTATGTATTTATTGCTTAGGACAGTGTCTAGTATGGGGGAAGTACTCAATATATGGCAACTATTACTATTGGAAGTATATTATCTTTAATACAAATTAACAGAAATAGGCACCTCTGGAGATTCCTGTCTGACCAAAGCAATTGTGTATTATCATCTAATATTGGGTTATATAAAACTGAGGGATATTGTAAAGACAGATCCCAAAACAGTGTTTCTATCACTTACGGTTTATCAATTTTCACTTCAAATATGTTCGTTCTATTCAAATGTTTATACTTAGTGTCTATTAGGTGCTAGCAGGACATTAGGCTGGGTGGGGGCTGGGGTGGGTGTGGTGGGACAACTAAGATGAATAAGGCATGGTTCCTGTCCTCAAAGAGAATATAAGCTTAGAAGAGAAAGGCAAAATCCAAATAAAACATGATTAAATGCTGTATGCGAGCAAAAAAAACCAAAAAACACTGTAGAGATTAAAAGTCTTTACCAAGTTGACTAATTTTTCAAAACTTCTGGACTTCTCAGTTTCTCCTCTATCTTCCTCTGTTAGTCTCCATCTATTTTTATGTATCCATCTTTAGTTATAGCAGGGAGTCAGTATGTATAAAAACCAGTAACAGCCACCCACTGTAACAGAAGGTAGCAGCCATTTGTTTTGTTTCTCCCTTATATTCTCAGTGCATAGCAAAAAGTGGAGCATCTTCCTCCCCTTGTCTTACACAGGGTGGCTCATTCTTGTGCTTCAGCTCTTAGTTCAGATGTCACCTACCCAGAGAGCCTTTCTCTGAGCACCCAGTCTAAAGTTTCTTCCCTCTCCCACTTCCATTATTCCCTAACACATTCTACCATTACCTTCAAAGCCCTACTGTTGTGGTGAATGCTGTGATGTGCCACCTTGATCCCCTTTAAGAATGAAAGGCTTATTTCCCCAGCTCTTGGGAGTGCTGAGACAGCCCTCAGTTGTCAGTCCCCTTCCAGGACTGACTTGGCTGAAAACAGCAGAGGTCTCACCGTCTTTTCAGGACAACAGCCATCCAACGACTGCCCATGTATAAAGGCCTGGCTCTTCCCTTCAACTTGGGATACCTCTGAAGGGACAAACCAACACCAGAGTTCTCTTGGGACTGCACTGCAGCTTAACTTTTTCTATCTGCCAATTCCTGCTTCCTTTATTCCTTGGTAAGATCCCAAAGAGTCCTTGCTAATAAATGTCCTGCCCACAAATCTCCTCCTTAAGAGTCCGCTACCCAGGGAATCCAACCTAGGATAATCTGGAAACATCTTGTTCATTATCAGTGTACTTGTTTATTGTTTCTTCTCCCATCACTAGAATATAAGCTCCACGTGGTCAGGGACTGTATCTGTCTTGGTCACTGCTGTATCTGCTAACTCTGCACAGTGTCACAAATTATATATATGAATATAAATATAAATTGACAAGGTTAGTGAATGACTGAAACTGCCAGAATTGAGAGCCTCTGTAACAGCAACAGTATTTGGGCATGGTCCTATTCGGGGAAAAGATGAGTATGACCCAGGAGGTTTTCATCTCAAAAGGATTTCCATCCCCATAATGTCAAAAGTCCTGTGAGTCCTGCTTCTGCTTTCACACGGTGGGCACTAGCCATGCTGTACAATAGTTCTGACGTCCAGTTCCACGTCAGAAAGTGGCCCTCACCCCCCAGACAGACACAGGCATACAGTGCCCTCTCCCTGCGAAAGAGTGACTGACGAATCACAGGTTCCAGCTAGCAGGTGGCAGCGCAGGTGAAATCGGTGCTTTCACTGGAACACCTTTTCCATCTCCTCCACGGTGTGGCCGCGCAGATGGGAGAGGGAGGAGGCTCTACACCTGGAACTGTACCCACACTATTGGAAAACCTCCTAGCCCATCCACATTCCTTCCCTCAGCAAGCATTTACTGCCTATGGCTACGTTAAGGGTAGGTCTTTAGTTTTCTAAGGAGCCAGCCTCCTCCTTGTCCCCGCCCCCAAATATCCTTCAAAGAAGACACCAGTGACCTTTCTGAGAGGGGGCAGGGGGCACCAACAAGCCCACCTCCCTTCTCTTCGGCCAGGCAGAAAGCAGGTTTTTCCACCTGAGGTTCTAGCGCTCTCACCTGCCCACCAGCCGCTGAGTCTCCCTAGGCCGCCGCCACCAGCTAAGCCCCATAGACCGAGCCGCACGCAGCCGCCGCAGCCGATCCTGCCAACCTGCGCTCGAAGCTTGGAGACAGAGCATGCGCAGCGCTGTGGTTGGCGCCGGCGCTGCTGAGAATCCGCTTTTCCGGGTTTTAGTGAGGTTCTCAGTCCAGAAAGGCTTTGCCGGAGACCCGAAAGAGCCGGGGGCGGAGCTTATTCAGCGTCAGTCTCAGCAAATGAGTTGAAACTAAAGAATTTAAATAACATCAAATGGACGTGTTAGGGCACAGTATCTGCCTTAAGGCCCGCGCTTAAGAGCTATTATTGAATGAATGACAAGGTAGTCAACGGTTCCCCGCAGCACACTGACCTCCCAGATTTGACCAATCACAAGGCGCCTGATTTGTTGTTTGGCGCCAGTTCCCCGCCCTCTTTTACGTCTGCCTCCAAAACCAGGAAAAAAGGAATGGCTCATCACTACGTCCCTGGATCGGGTTGGAAAGTGGACTTGCTCAGTGAGAGCAGGTCCTGGTTGCTTTCAGAGAGGTTTTGCCCACAGCCTTTCCGATGGGGGCATTTGGGAAGGTCGGGAGTCCTCCAACTCTTTAGCTTCACAAAGTGGGTAATTTTGGCACTATCTCTCCATCCTGCTTCTTAGTTCGAGGACAAAATTTTTATTTTTCTGTAGCATTCAAAAGAATTATAAAGGAAGTTATATGTATCGCTATTTCAAAGTTTATCCAGCATTGTGAGAGCCACCTTTGCTTTCCGACTTTTTTATAACTTGATTCTTGCGCTAGTAATTTTCCGGTATCAAGGTGCTCTGAACCACAGAAACGTTGGGTTTTAGTTTTCTTTCGCTCGCCTCCGCCGTCTAGCACTATGGGTAACCGTGATTCGTTACCTGCCAATCATATTCACGGCGTTCCTAGCGTCTGAAGAGCCGCCTTGTCGCCATTTTTGTTTTGGGCCCTCCTTGAAAAATGGGCGGAGGTCATTTTTCTTTGGGGTAGATTCTTGCGCTGTGCCGGCCCTTCACTCAGTGTTTCCCCGCCATCTTAAGTTCTGGTTTTGGCTTCAAGCGGACGGTGAGGCCGCCCAGATCATCTTGTGTTTGGGTGGCGGCAGCGTTTTCCCAACGCACGGGGAGACCCTGGGAAAGGGGAAGTAAAGCCGAAGCTTGAATCCCCAAAGCATCTGAAGGTGGGCCTGAGAGCCTGCTGCCTGTTTAGTCTGAGTCTCCTCAGCCAAGTACTACTCCACCAGTGACCGTGGACAGTAAAAAACTAATAAAAGCCCGAACCCAAACCCTGCCACCATCATAGGTAAGAACGTGGAACTCCTGACAACCTAAGATGTTCCTTCACTTGAACTGAACTATTTGCCCATCTCCTTCCCAACCCCCCGTGGGTTTTTTTCTTTTGTTTTTTTTTAGCCTTTTCTGAATTCTTTCCCCCGTGCTTCCACCTTTTTTCATTGTTTTCAAAGTGTTAAGGAGTTGTTAACATAAGCCTGCGGGAAACGGCATGAAAGTGGAAAGTATTGGTCTGGAGAATTTTTTGTTTTTGGGGAAAATGGAGTACAATGAATGGGCCAGGTATTTGCATCAAACTGTGGCTGCCCACAACCATTAATACACAGTCTCTTCTCAGACATTTTTAGGTTATGAGGTAGTATGGATTGTGTTGGTATATACTGCCTGTTCACTCATTTATTCATTGCATTTATTTTTATTTATTTTTAAAGATTTTATTTATTTATTTGACAGAAAGAGACACAGCGAGAGAGGGAACACAAGCAGGGGGAGTGGGAGAGAGAAAAGCAGGCTTCCTGCTGAGCAGGGAGCAAGATGAGGGACTCAATTCCAACCCCCCCCCCCCATGGCCTGAGCCAAGGCAGAGGCTTCACCGACTGGGCCACCCAGTCGCCCCTATTCATTGCATTTATTGAGTACCTAATGTATGCTAAGCCGTAAGGATTCTGCAGTAAACCAAACCAAAACAAAAAAAAACAACCCCTTTCTTTCTTGGAGTTTACATTCTATCTGACCTCAACAGCTACTAGATTGGGGCAGGTAACAGTATTCTGTGGTTCTTAGCACTGTTGGACTATGACAAGTGTCTCCTTGCTTCTTCCTTGAACTCCTCACCTTCCTTTTTTTTTTTTCCCCTGTACTAGGAAGAAGTTGTATTGAGACTTATTTCTTGGGTCCTAGATGCCACCATATTTGTAGGCCAGGTGGCTAATTTTATGACCAATATTCAAGTTACTTAGGTCGCTCAGAGTGCCGTCTACTGACCAGCATCACCTGGAAGCTTCTTAGAAACTTTAATCTCAGATCCCATCTCAAGATCCACTGAATCAGGATCTTTTCTGGGGAGTACACCTTAAAATTCAAGGAGCATTAATTCAGGACCTGAACTAAAGATACAGAATGCCTATTTTCAACCTGTGTTTCTTAAACAGTTCACAATATATTGTCAGTTTATTCCATGTTTTACATGCGGTGGGCATATGACATGTTTTCCTGGGCTTTTATTTTTTTTTCTTTTGTTTATTTATTTTTTTAAGAGAGAGTGGGAGGGAGGGGCAGACGGAGAGATTGATCCCCAAGTCGGGCTCCACTGCTATGGAGCCTGAGATCATGACCTGAGCCGAAACCGAGAGTCTGTCACTTAACCGACTGAGCCGCCCAGGTGCCCCTTTCTTGTGCTTTTTATCCATCAACTTGATGTCAAGATAACAATTTAGTGTTCTAAAAAATTGAGAATTTGTCAGTCTGGTGTATTATTATATAACTGTTGTCACAGCAACACCTCTGTGCATATTTTCCCTCTGTGCAAATTTTCACTTTTAATTTATTACAAGTTGAATTCAAAAGCCTGCATGTGTTCAGCAGTTCAATATTGACTTGGAAAACCTTGGGCCGTGCTTTACCAAAGTTTTTTGTGACATCTTGCTCTCTTCTGTCTTCCTCTAGTGAGAAATCTAATCATTTAAAAAAAAATATTCCAGGCCAGTATCTGCTAGTTTTAGACCCTGTGGATGGAATTTAGGAACCAGTAAGGTGTTTGAGAGAACAGCAAATTACTTTTCTGTTTTTCACATGCTGTGTTTAGATTTTTTAAATCCCAGACAGATTTACTTAAAATAATTAGGAATTTGAAAGCATTGGAGAGAACTGGACTGGAAATGTAGTGAACTAGCTTCCCAGGAACCAGTCAGCTTGCCATTTATTTATTCTATGTGCTCAGTAAGTTGTCCAGCTTTTCTTGTTGTCCTTTTTCCACCTAATAATTTGGAAAAGAATGAAGGTTGTGTTGTTTTTTTACTTAGCCTCATGTGAGTTTTTCAAAATGCAGCAAATACTGAAGTTTTGTGTAAGTATAATATGTATTGCTTTTGATTTTCACATACTGTATCTTATATTGTGTGTGCCAGTAGAACACAGTGGGTAAGGAAATAAACTTCAGAGCCATATTCCCTGGGTTCAAATCCTAGCTCCTCCACATACTAGCTGTGTGACCTTGAACAGATTACTTAACTCTCTGCTTCCATCTTTTCATCTGTAAAATAGGGTTGTATGAGGGTTAAATAAGTTAATAAAAGAAAAGTGCTTAAAACAATGCCTGGCGCTTGATCACAGCTATGTACATATTAATCGTTGTTTTTTGTTATAATTAAATCTTTGGGTTATTAGTTGTGTTCATGAAAATCACTAAGGGAAAAGGTATTACAGTTCCATGACTTTGGGACATGTACCCGTTGGGAAGAGAGGCAGGTGGTCTAAATGTACTAGGAAGACAGATTTTTTTAAATGGTCTTTTTCTTTTTAAATAGCCTTATTGAGGAATATAGACATATCTTGCTTTATTGTGCTTTGCAGATTTTTTTTTTTTTTTTTTTACATATTGAAGGTTCAGGGCAACCCTGCACTGAGCAAGTCTTTTGTTGCCATTTTTCTAACAGCATTTGCTTGCTTCATGTCTCTGTGTTACATTTTGGTAATTCTCACAGTATTTCAAACTTTTTCATTATATTTGTTATGGTGCTCTGTGATCAGTGATTTCAGCTTGCTGAAAGCTCAGGTGAAGGTTAACACTTTTTAGCAATAAGGTTTTTTTAATTAAGGTAAATACATTTTTTTTTTTATACATACTGCCGGGCCACATTTAATAGACTATATAGTAAAACTTAAACAAAATTTTTTTTAAGGAAGTAAAACTTTATTGACCACAGTTTACTAGTATTTACAATAAAGTAAACAATATACAGTTGGATAACATTTTGACTACAACGTTACTGTTTTTCCTGGTTTCTGCTGAACCAGTAACTCAAATACTGAGAAGACTGAGACTACATGTCAGGAATAAGCTGGGGTAGGGACACCTGGGTGGCTCAGTGGTTAAGCATCTGCCCTGGGCTCAGGTCATGATCCTTCAGTCCTCAGATCGGGCCCCACATCAGGCTCCCTGCTCAGCAGAGGAGTCTGCTTCTCCCTCTCCCTCTGCCCCTTCCCCGGCTGTGCGCGCTCTCTCTCTCACTCTCTCTTTCAAATAAGTAAATAAAATCTAAAAAAAAAAAAAAAAAAAAAGAATAAGTTGGGATAAAGAAAAAACATGCAGGCCAAGAATTCAGATTATAGAAGTCTGTCCACCCATTTATTCTAGCAGGTGCTAAATTGCCAGTATCTCTTCCCATTTGATTATGATTAGGTTTCCATGAACAAAGTCTTAGCTATTCCATGAATCATGACCTTTTAGGCAGTATAGCACAGGGATTTCAACTTCTTGAAAAGGAATGGTTCACTAGAAGGAAGCTTAAAATGTCCATTTAAGTTTGTCCATTTAAGTTTTGCTTACCTAATGTCTAGTTTTGTCATTTGAGTGGGGAGGTTGTTGGTGGCGATAAAATTTTCCTTTCAGGGATCTTGCAAATAAACTTGCATTTATATGACTATAGATATGGGTATGTATTCTGATGTGGCTTATTTTAAATTGCCCAATTTAAATTGTTTACATAATATTTTAATTGTCCAATTAATTACAAAACTTGAAAAATTAGGGCTTCAGGAAAAATTT